CCATGCCTTATTCCCCCACATCACAGGTGTTTAATGAATGCGTTCAGTATATTCGTAAGTGTACGAACATAGTATTTTTCAGTTTAGATGACCAAGTTGTGATCTGTGTCACTAAATTGAGTAAAGGCTTTTGTAGCTAGTCCATGTTGCAATCAATTATAGTTGAACTATACTGTAAATGCAACTAGCTAATATTATTTGAAAGAGAAAAAATAGACTTCAGACTGCGTGCTTTGTGTGTGAAGTCAAAACCTATTAACCACAGTAGACTTTCTGTTATTTTGCTTTTTTTTAATATTCTGGAGTGTTCTACAGGCATTCACACACAGAGGGGCAGGGAGGTGCATGAAGTTCCTTTTACTGAATACTGCTTCTTCCATAGTGAAATAATTGCTCTCGGCCTTTTAACTAGAAAAAACTTCTTTTAACCATTTATTTAAACAAAAAAAAAAGGCTAGCAAGGTATCTTGAGATAATTGGGTGTAGAGTACCAAAATAATTTGTTACTGAAAAACAGATTTGTTTGTTTGCTTTGTTTTGTTTAGTTGTTTCGGAAGCTTTTAAGTTATTTTAATGGTTATCTAGAGGTGTCATAACTTTGCCTAAAGAGCATCCCTAGCCTGCATGAGTTCGAAATGGTTGAAATGAGTTTGGAATGGTTTTAAACTAAAAGAGGACAGATTTAGACTAGATATAAGAAAGAAATTTTTTACAGTGAGGGTGGTGAAACCCTGGCACAGGTTGCCTAGAGAGGTGGTAGATGCCCCGTCCCTGGAAACATTCAAGGTCAGGTTGGACGGGGCTCTGAGCAGCCTGATCTAGTTGAAGATGTCCCTGCCCATGGCAGGGGGAATTGGACTAAATGACCTTTAAAGGTCCCTTCCAATCCAAACTATTCTATGATTCTGTGAAATAGTGCTGGGAAATCCAAGTTGGCCCTTTCAGCAGACATTACCTTTTAGCTACTGGGAATGCGGCACCCTATGAACATTTCAGTGCTTGTGTGATTGCCCTTGATGTAGACATCCTTGTCTCTGCTTCAGACTAGCCTCTTGCCCCAAGCTTGCATCTGCAAATTGCACTTCCATGAAAGTGGAATGCTAATACTCCCAGCCTTTCGAGGAGGCAGAGGTATATAGGCTCTGTTAAGGTGTTGTGTGGTGTTTTTTTTTTTTTTTTCTCTCTCCACCCCCACTCCCCTATTCCACGCATTAGAAACTAGAAGTCTAATGTCATATTTGACCACCAATTGTTCCTTTCATGACTTCCTATCTGGATTTGTAAGGGGCTCGTTAGATAGGAAGGTTGGGAATGTGAACTCTTAGAATGGCATCGGTCCCATAGGTGACGACCATAGGAGTTAAAGGAAACTTGCCAAAAGCTGGGAGTGCTTGAATTTTGAGAAGAGATTAGTTTTAAAATATATATTGGTTAAGCTTGCTGGCTTTAATCTCCTGAAGCAGTGCATGAACAGGAACGTACGACTTACAGTCAAACAGACGAAGTCACTACCCTCCAAGAGCAAGCCAGTTTCTTCCACCAGCGTTGGTGCTCATTGGCTGCTGGTGGAAAAA